GATAAAACTGCACTTTTAAGTACTAATCACACCCCCAACCATTTATTATTAGTTCTTAGTAATTAAAGTGTTAAAATAGAAAAATAATTTGTAAATTCCATAAAATAAGGAATTCATCATTCCACTTTGATTAATCTATTCAGATAAACAAACTCTCATTAAATTTATATATTTGTTCAATATCTTTTAAACAAGATATTAATAAACCTTCCTTTTGTGTTTAATAAATCAACACATAGTTATGTGGCTTTTCTTGAAAGAAAACAAAATTTTTGTTTTAATGTTTAAGGTTAACTTCCTTTAGTTGAGATTATTATTATTATTTTTTTAATATATATAAATATAACTTAAAACACAATGCATCTTTAACACATGTAACAAGCTTTCGGCTAATGATTTCTAGACCAGTTGGTCTTAGGGCATTACGTGTTAAGATATTCCTACAAGCTTAGTAACTCGGGTTATGAATACTGATACGTAGATAGTGTAATATTTGATTCCTTTAAGCTTTTCTCCTCAACCTATGTAACAAGCATTGAGATAATAGTTCTTAAGTCAGTTGACTTTAGGGTATTAGGTGTTAAAACACTATTTTGGGCTTAATAACTTAAGTTAGGGAGGCTACGAAACCAAACTTATCTACATTTTTATTATCATCATTTGTTTTTGCTTTTTTTTTTGTTGCAAATTGTATACTATCATAAGGTTTAAGAATATATGTTAAATGAGTATATAAGTAAAATTAAGTGATAACAATGCGAGAGTTTATAAACCTGAATATTTCAAGAAGTATTTTCATAGACCTTATAATGAATATTGCAAATCACCATTGAAAAATATTAACCAAGATACGTCTTAAAAGTCAATAAAATTCCTCCTTACTCTATTATCTTAGTAACAACAGTTTGCAAATGGTTTATATAATAAAAAACATAATTAGTTTTTTTTAATAACAACTACTAACCTCTCCCCCTCATCAAAATAAGACATTGTCCTTCATGTCCCAAGGTAGAAAAATAGAGTATAAAAGACATCACCTGAAACACTGCACACTGACAAACCTGAAACACACTTAAACAAATATAAAAAACAACAAATCATAAGTATTATGCTATTAATAAAACTAAAAGACACAAGTTTTTACAAACTAAGACTCAAATCATAGTTGTGATTGTGGCTTATATTTTTTCTTAGTTTTATGTCCAAGAACGACTTAAACGCCCTCTATGGGTCGGGGATAGGCTTCCCATCCAGTTTTCTTAAAAACTGGCAAACAAGG